GAATTTTTTCACTAGAGTTTATATTAATTTTTATTTGCACTGTTTTGATGTTTTATAGAATTCGCTTTTTTTGTCTGCTGGCGCGTGCACTCTGAAGGAATGACATATCCATGCCGTTCCTTAACCACTTCCTGTCTGGACACTTTCACCCTCTTCCTGTCCAGGGCAATTTTCAGCTTTCAGCGCTATCACACTTTGAATGACAATTGCGCGGTCATGCAGCACTGTACCCATATGAATTTTTTACCATTTTTTTTTTTGACAGATAAAGCTTTATTTTGGTGGTATTTATTCATTGCTGGGATTTCTATTTTTTTTGCTATGTAAATGAAAAAGTCCAAAGATCTTGAAAAAAAATGTTTTTCTTATAAAATTTTGCAAATAAATAATATTTCATCACAAATCTTGGCCAAAATGTATTCAGTTATCTTTTTAGTAAAAAAAAAAAAAAAAAAAAATATATATATATATATATATATATATATATATATATATATATATATATATATATATATATATGCCAAATTTTTTTTATAACCAAAAATTCTTGCAGCCATTGAGAAATACTGAGTGAGCTGTGATTGGTCCCAGCTTGTCACATGGTACAAGGCTGTAGTGACTAGCCTTGTACCATGTGACCTCTGTGATCATTCACAGATTTCACACGTAGTAAGCAATGATGTCACAAGTGACATCTTGCTTACTACTTTGCATGTGATCACTGATTGGCCAATCAGTGATCACATTATCGGGATCCCGTCCGCCGATCGGTGTTTCACTATGTCCGGAGGACACAGCGGGCACTGGATCTCGGTGCTGCGCGCTCCCAGGGAGAGCGCACAGCTAGAAATGGCGGGTGCCGTTTATGAACGGTCACCCACCCCTGGAGTGCCACCGTCCTGCCGTTTATAAACAGCAGGCGGACAGCAGTGGTTAAGAACACTGTGTCGTGTCTTGAGACTACTGTGCGCATGCGCTGCAGTGACGTCAGTGCAGCTCAGCCAGTCTGGCAGCCAAGACTTGCGAACCCAGAGGGAAGACTGGGTGAAGATGGAAGCCTCTGCAGAAGGGATACCACAGCGCTGGAGGGCTTCGTTTAACCCTTTGAGGACCATAAGATTACGGAACGCCAAAATAATCAATTTTTTTGTTTTTAAAATTTGTACACTTCAGTTGCTGTAACTAAGCCATTTCATGAAATAATTGGCAAAGATATATACATTTGTTGTTTGTTAAGAACGAATATTTTGACTCAAACCAAAAAAAAAAAAAAAAAAAAGTTTTAGGTTCTTAATCAGATGATACAGGCAATTAAAAACATGGGACAAATACGTCCCTTGGTCCTCAAAGGGTTAAGGCAAGTTCTGCATAATGTGCTAGTATGCGATGCTACCTTTAAGGTGTTTTCCTAAATAGGATTTGTTGGTAGTTTTACAAGGTGTGACTAAAAGACCATCTGAACCATTGGAGGATGCTTCAATCAAGGATTGGACCTTTAAAACAGTTCTGCTAGAGTCAGTAACTTCAGCCAGCAGAATTGGGGAACTGCAGACACTCAATTGTGGAGCCTTTTCTGAGAATGTTCCCATATTTTATCATTTTGAGAACAGATTCAGGGTTTTTACCCAAAGTTTCATCCTCTTCACAGATCTCAAGAGAAATGTTCTTCCCACTTTTTACCCATCTCCATCATGTCCTAAGGAAGAAGTCTTTCATGCCTTGGACGTGAGAAAAGGCTTATTGCAATATTTGGAAAACACAAAAGACTTTACAAAAACAAATTCTTTGTTCGTGCTTCATGCAGGATCACGAAAGGATTGGGTGCTTCCCAAAGAACTATAGGGAGATGGCTTGGATAGGCCATTCAGGAGTCTTATGTGGCTTCTGACGTAGGGGTTCCAACAGGTATTGTGACCCATTCAACCCAGGCAGTGGCAACATCGTGGTGCTTCTCCTGAACAGATCTTCAAAGCAGCTGCTTGGACAAGTTATTGTACTTTCATCCGACATTATAGGATGGATTTGCTTTCGGCCACAGAGCAATCTTTTTGCAGTAAGGTCCTGCAGGCAGTTGCCTCACCCTACAGTAAGTACTTGCATATCCTCTCCAGGTACTGTCCTGAAAGACAATCTAGAAACACCTTAGTTAGACTTACGGTTGACAGTATTTCTAGGAGTCTTTCAGAACAGCAGCTAGTACCCTCCCCTTAGGTTGGCTCTGAGGAAGAGGTTGTGGCCTCGAAATGCGTTAGCTAGTTGGTCATCCAGGGTTCCATCATATGGACTCAGATGTTGTTTGGATCATACATCTTGTTCAGTTTGATATGCCTGTGTTTTTTTGTCTATTGTGAGTATGATACTAACTTTGTTTCTTCAATAAATATTTTAAAACGATAATGCACTAGGTCGGTGCGCCCTTTTTTCTGTTTCTCCATTTACATCTAGTGTATTTGGACCACCCGGTCTGTAGAGGGCAGCAAGCAGTGCATATTCCAGAAAATTCCTATTGGGTCCACGGAGTCTTTTCCTAGCGCAGGAGAAAAGTGTTTGTTGTGTTGGATTTACCCTCCCCTTATGTGTGATATGATTTTAGGTTGTATTTTTCACCATGGTGGCAATTACTCTGTTACCAGGCCATGGTGGAGGTGTCCAGCTTTTAAAGATTGAGACCGCGGTGTTTCCTGGGAAAATAGGTGGAGCTACGCTCTCTCCAGGTGCTGTCCTGAAAGACTCCTAGAAATACTGTTACCGGTAAGTCTAAGGTTTTTTTTTTTTCTTTTAACCTCTTCGCGCCGGCCGCACGCAAATGTGCGTCCTACCGGCGTCTGGGCCTTGACGCCGCAAATTTGTGTGCAATTAAGAAAAACATATGTGCTGAGAGTGCGCACCATGCGCTCTACCAGCACATATGTCCGGTACTCACAGCAATGTCCCGATCTCCTCTTTCGATTAGGACCTTTCCCGATCATGCCACTGCCGTGACGGCGGATCACGGCGGTCACATGACCCTAAAACCCCGTTCCGGCATTCTGAAACCCTTAAAGGGCCGAGGAGGCGCCAGCGCCATGGGGTTAATTTTGCTCCTCATCTGCCAGCTTTTGTTATATTGCAGCAGTATTTCACAATTTACCCTCTTTCTCCATTCTACCATCATTTTGCGTAAAACGGTGCTTCATCTCTACAACTGGAAAAGAGGCTTGCAAAACAATGCTAAACAGAAGAGAAGCAGGATTACAACAGCAGCAATTCAATTTTAGCTATTGTAGCACAACCGCTCAAAAACCATCTGCCAGAGCTTTATTGCTTTCACACCTGGTGACACCCTCTACACTCATTTCCAAACCTGGTGTCACCAGGGACAGAAAAGTGAGAAGACACCTCCATAGCCGTGTTTCAGACAACAATTGACAGAGGTTCTGACCCTTCCGCATACTATGCAGAGCTTAGAGCAGAAACACACTGCATCTGAGCACGACAAACCAAAAACGCCATTTAAATCATTTTTGATATTCAAAGCAAACTCCCCCATCCAAGTCTCCATGCTTTCTTTTGCTGAGAATCACTTTGAAAAACACCACTTTGGCATTTCTGGCCATCTTGAGTAAGGGCAGATGATGATTCATATAGCATTTACTTCCCTGAAATCCATCTGCCCTTACCTCAGGCATGCATACAGGAGTGTTCGGCTGAGAAAATCCCTCCTTCCCTCCTGTAGTCTCCTGGGATGTATTGCATAATTTACCTAGGCCTGGAAACAACTGATTAAAAAAAAAAAAAAAAAAATTAAAAACAAGTAAATATGATATACGTTCTATTTACTAATGCTATCAGCAGAAGGGTTAAACAGTCAATACTGAGAGAGAGTGAAGTTCAAAGTGATACTGAACAGATACGTGTTAAATTGCCATAATTTGTTTACATAATTCATATATATTTCATGCCACTCATGCGCGGTTATGTGGTCACATTAGCTCTCCCTGTTTTTTGGCATCTGCAGGGAAAGTTCCTTGGTAGGGGCTTCTATTACTACAGTTTAGGTCTGTCTGCAAAGCCCTGATTGATGCTGTGCCAGAAACACACAAAAAAAACAACAAAATATTCAGAAAAGCAATTAAAAATGATAAAATATCAAAAACCGGTTTTATAGTTCCCTATAAAACTTTATTGAACATCAAAGGTGTACTTTGTTCATTAATATGGTGTAGATGATTGACACTAGCTTTTATTTTGTTCACCTTGAGCGTTGTACGTCTTGTTTGAGGAGGGAAGGTGGCTGCTTACCGTTCATCAACACCTGTATACCGATCATTTATCCATATCTATGTTATGTCATTTGGATATCCTGGAATAAGAGATATTGTGGTGAATTGGAGGAGGTGATTGTCATCCAGTATATAAGTTGATCATTTTGTGGATAACAACTCTTAACCTCCCTGGCGGTCTGATTATTTCAGATTTTTGGTGCTGAAAGCGGTACATTATTTTGCATGGAAATATGTCGTTTTTTATTGTAGGCTGTAATTTTTAGGAATAACTCACTGAAATCTGTCCGAACAAGAGTCTAGTAAACATCCCGGGTAGGATAAAATTTGAAACACGAAATCATAAATAATATAATAAATAATCATAAAAAATAATAATAAAATAATAAATGTAATTCAATAATGTAATCAAACCAAAAACAATGAAATGTGAAATATAGCGCCAAGTTCGCACATCACTGAGCAAAGTCGCAGAATCGTTTTCAGTGTCTGATGATGAATTTCCCCCACAAATCATTATCACTCAATTCTGCAAGTGGTTCTGATTTACTATCGCTGTTCTCTAGCTGATCTAAACCCGCTTTTGACATAAAGGGACGCTTTTTGGACGCCATGGACTTTTCGAAGTTTCCAGGTAGAAAGAACAGTAAAAATGCAGACAGGGGACAGGACAAAGCACTCGGGACAAAATGTATGTGAAATGGGTTGAAACAGCAATGTTTTACTATGTAAAATTCGTTTTGAAAAAAATGACTTTTTTAAATTTTCAAATTTCCCGCCGGTGCCTGTATGTCCCGACGTCACAGGGCCCGAAACACAGAAGCCGGATGCCGGCATCAGCCGGAGATGGCCGGGGACACTGCAGGGGGGACATCGCAGCAGCGAAGGACAAGGTAAGCTCTGCAGTGAATCCCTGAGCAACGCCGCATGGTAAGCCCGAGTGTAGCTCGTGGTTACCGCTTTTGGTACAGAAACTTTACCCCGAGCTACACTCGGGAATACCACCAGGGAGGTTAAGCGAACAAGTCAGCTATGAGAATGGGAGGCATATCCATTTGGTGAGTGCACACCCGAGAGGGGGACACTATATATTTTACTCACGTGGTGATTGTATTTGAAGAATCTGAATGGGCAGTACAGTGGCTAAATGGTTAGCACTTCCGCCTGGCAGTACTCGGGTTGTTGGTTTGAATCCCAACCACGGCACCTCCTGCCTGGAGTTTGCATGTTCTCCCTGTGCCTGCGTGGGTTTCCTCCGGGTACTCCGGTTTCCTCCCACACTCCAAAGACATGTTGGTAGGTTAATTGGATCCTGTCTAAATTGGCCCATGAATATGAATGTGAGTTAGGGACCTTAGATTGTACACCCCTTGAGGGTTAGGGACTGATGTGAATGTACAATATATATATGTAAAGTGCTGCGTAAATTGACGGCGCTATATAAGTACCTGAAATAAATAATCATAGGGTAACATGCTGGGGGGGTTAATGGCTGTAGGTAACGACGTCAAAAGCCAAAAACAGCCGCTGTAAAAACGTCCCGTGTGCAGGAGGACTTAAACCTGGAAGCTGATTGGTTTCTATGCAGAGCTGCACCAGATTTTGGACTCTCCTTTTTTAGTAAATCACTCCCTAAGCGTGAATAAGTCCTAAATATCTGCATGCTAAACTTTGCCAGTAAAGTATCTGTATAAAAGAGGATTGTATAAACTTGGCTCTATTGCCCCCTATCCACTCCACTGATTGCTGCTCTGGGAGGAATGGCCCTCCACTATCCTCTTGGGATGGTTGATCTCCCTGGTCCCTTGATCTTACTGGCTGTAGGAAAAGAAAAAAAAAAAAAAAAAAAAAAAAAAAAAGTCAAAAGCCAAAAACAGCCGCTGTAAAAACGTCCCGTGTGCGTGAGGACTTATTGTCAAAGCTTAACTGAACAAGCTGAAGTGAAAAGCTGTTTGGCTGCCATGCAAAGCTGCACCAGATTTTGCACTCTCCAGTTTTTGCAACTCAACCCCTAAGGCCCCATGTACACGGGACACTTCTGAATGATGGAAACTGACTGCTGGAAAACGTAGGTAAAAAAGGTCTGTTTAGCTGTGTTTGCATAACGCGTTTATGCACATTTATGTGCGTTTAGAAGCGTTTTTTTTTAAAGATAAGCACAGGAGAACCTCCCAAATGCCCAGAATGCACTGAAAAGTGGTAAATTATTAACTATTTCAGACTGTTTCAGAGAAATACAGAGAGTAGAAGCAGAGACAGCAGTATGTGTTGAGATTAGCTAGGTGTGAGTTGCTCATTAACATATCTTTTGTTTCCAAGGGTGGGAAAGGTGTCTGGTGTAGGGAGTCATTAAGGTCACCTGGCAGGGGGTCTTCATGAGGAATTTGAGGTGTGAATTATCATTAACATCTCTTTTGTTTCCAAGGGTGGGAGAGGTCTGAGGTGTGAATCGGTCATTACAATGTGTGACAAGCTTGGTAGGAACATCCTGTGTTCAGTCCATCTGAGTACCTGGAAAACGCTTTGCATGTATTTTTCATGATGAAGAAAGGCTCTGGACAGCATCGGGAGAGTTAAACAAAAAAAATTAAAACACAAACGCTTATAACTGCTATTTGTTGCGTTTACAAGCGTTTTGCATTTGAAACGCTGATAAAATAGACTGCTGAATGCAAGTTTTCTGCATTAAAAAAAAAAAAAAAAAACGACTAAACTCAACTGCCTGTAAACAACTGCAAACGAAGGGGTGTACGTGGACACATAGGAAAACATTAGTGCGAGTTCAGGGGCTGCTGGAAAAAAAAAAAAAAACCCGCTGAACAGCTCCTAAACGTGCATTTATCTGCAGTGTAGAGCTCCTAAGCGTGTTAACCTGTGCTGATCTGAGTTAGTCCATGAGGACTCAATGCAAAGCCACCGCAAGTACAACTGCTGTCTATGTGCCTTGATCCCACTAAACCATTGTGTTGGAGTCTGCTGAAGAAAAAAATATGGGGGATGAATTATGTATTTTTAATATTGTGCAAAAAAAAAAAAAAAAACGCTTGATAACACATCTTTGAAATTAAAAAAAAAATTACACTAATAGCGCACACACAAAAAAAAAAAAATGCAACTCAACATGCAGTAGTAACACAGTGCAATGCATTAAAAATGCATGCCACAGTGCCTAACATGCTTCAACGCAGATGCATGTTCTATGCAGTGTTAACTAGTCCTTAGAGGCCTTCAATAAAAACAAATCCAGCAAGTGTAGGAGGACTGAACTGGGGCCTCATCAGCACTTCTGCTTTTCTAAGAAGTTCCTAGCAATAGGCGCACGACGACAGAAAACTTGTGTTGTGCTGAGTTCCCACCTACTGTAATGTGGTTGCAGCTGATAAAAGGGGACCAGTCAGGACAGCCTTTATCGGTCACAGCTGAGGCTCCCATCCAACGCTGGGTTGAGCAGCAAAATATACACAACGTAGAGCTTTCTCAACCTTTTTTCAGTCAAGGCACCCTTTAAAATTATGAAGAGTCCTGAGGAATCCTTTAAAATGATGGATTCTTGAGAGTCTTGAGGCATCCTATTGTAAAAGCCAGGTGGAGGGGCAGCAGGATGGGAGGGGGGCAGCCTCATGGAAAGGAGGGGCAGTGGGCCAGGTGTGGAGCAGCATCACAGCACTGTCACAGAAGGGGGCAGCAAGACAAGTGGGGGGCAGCGTCACCCGAGGGTAGGGGGGGGGGGGGGGGATCTGCGCCGTGCTGGAGGTGGATCTGTCCACTATTGCATAGGTGGAGGGACTTGCTGGTAGGGAGCACCACCACAGTTGATGGCATTGATGTGCTCCATGGAGTGGACAGGGTGGTTGGTGCAGGAGGCCGCGTCCTCTACTCAATGCGCTCTGGGGGTAGGGGGGGGGGGGCTGCGGTGTTCTCCAGAGGGCTGGCTTTCCTAGAGCTGTGCACAGGAAGCGATGGGGGAGACTCCAGGGATCCTGGAATGCTGGGTTCCACTCTGTGGGGCGGGGGAGAGGTGCCATTTGCAATTTATTAAAAAAAAAAAAAAAAAACATGTAAATAAGTATTCACAACCTTTGCCATGACACTCGAAATTGAGCTCTGGTGCATCCTGTTCCCACTGATCATCCTTGAGATGTTTCCACAAGTTTATTGGAGTCCATCTGTAGGAAATTCAGTTGATTGGACATGATTAGGAAAGGCATAAACCTGTCTATAGAAGGTCCCACAGTTAGCAGTGCATGTCAGAGCACAAACCAAGCCATGAAGTCCAATGAATTGTCCGTAGACCTCTGAGACGGGATTGTATCAAGGCACAGATCTGGGGAAGGGTACAGAAAAAGTTCTGCAGCATTGAAGGTCCCAATGAGCACAGTGGCCTCCATCATCCGTAAATGGAAGAAGTTTGGAACCATCAGGAATCTTCTTAGAGCGCTCCGCCTGGCTAAAATGAGCGATTGAGGGAGAAGGACCTTAGCCAGGGAGGCAACCAAGCACCCAATGGTCACTCTGAAAGAACTTCAGTGTTTCTCTGTGGAGAGAGGAGAACCTTCCAGAAGAACAACCATCTCTACAGCACTCCACTAATCAGGCCATTATGGTAGAGTGGCCAGACAGAAGCCACTCCTCAGTAAAAGGCAAATGGCAGCCCACCTAGAGTGTGCCAAAAGGCACCTGAGGGACTGTCAGACCATGAGAAACAAAACTCTCTGGCCTGATGAAACAAAGATTGAACTCTTTGGCCTGAATGCTAAGTGGCATGTCTGGAGGAAACCAGGCACCGCTCACCACCTGGCCAATACCATCCCTACAGTGAAGCATGGTGGTGGCAGCATCATGCTGTGGGGATGTTTTTCAGCGGCAGGAACTGCAAGACTAGTCAGGATCAAAGGAAAGATGAATGTGGCAATGAACAGAGACATCCTTGATGAGAACCTGTTCCAGAGCGCTCTGGACCTTAGACCGGGGCGACTGTTCATCTTTCAACAGGACAACGACCCTAAGCATACAGCCCATATAACAAAGGAGTGGCTACGGGCCAAGTCTGTGAATGTCCTGGAGTCGCCCAGTCAGAGTCCAGACATGAACATCTCTGCAGATATCTGAAAATGTCTGCGCAACGACGCTCCCCATCCAACCTGATGGAGCTTGAGAGGTACTGCAAAGAAGAATGGGAAAAAGTGCCTCAAAATAGGTGTGCCAAGCTTGTAGCATCCATCATACCCAACACGACTCGAGGCTGGAAATGGTGCTAAAGGGGCTTCAACAAAGTATTAAGCAAAGGCTGTGAAGACTTATGTACATGGGGGGTTTTTTATTTTTAATAAATTGCAAAGATTTCAAAACAAACTTCTTTCACATTGTCATTATGGGGTATTGTTTGTAGAATGTTGAGGAAAAAAAAAATGAATTTAATCCATTTTGGAATAAGTCTAACATAAAATGTGACAAAAGTGAAGCGCTGTGAATACGTTCCGGATGCACTGTATACTGACCTGACCCGCCGATCCTCCCCACACAAGACTGGTTTTTTCGGCTTCTGCCCCTGGCCCCCCCCCCCCCTTACCCCTAGAAATAACATGGATGCACTGTATGTTCGGTGTCCTCTCCCCTAGAACAAAAATGAGTGTTTACCCGTGCAGAGCCAGTACAACACCACCGCACGAGCAGTTCTGCTTTTGTACACACATGAAAAATACGGCTTTTAAAGCGACCATCCGGTACTCTGATCGTTATTACACAGCTTTCGAGAGCGGATTTCAATTTGAGACGAACATGCAAAAAAAAAAAAAAACCACAAAAAACGGACAGTCCTTCATCCATTAATGTGGATTGTATCTACTGAGAAGGGTGGCAGTGGCTTAGTGGTTAGCACGTCTGCCTTGCAGTAATTGGGTCATGGGTTCAATTCCCAACCATGGTGCCTCCTGCATGGAGTTTGCATGTTCTCCCTGTGTTCGCGTGGGTTTCCTCCGGGTACTCCAAAGACATGCTGGTAGGTTAATTAGCTCCTGTCTAAATTGTCCTAGTTTCATCCCTGGCCATGTGGGATCTCCTGCATGGTGGGGGTTGGGGAAAGACCTGGCAACCTACCCTGCAAAATAACTGCTAAGAGAATTCATGGGAAAAAGTCACTTAGGGCTCGTTCACACTTGGCTGTTTTACCAACGCTTGCCAAACGCCCCTATAGCGTTTGGGAAGCGTTGCTCCTGCGTTTGCGGAGCGTTTTTTAACGCTCGTCAAATGCTCCGCAAACGCCGCATGAGCGGTTTAGCGGCGGTTGCTAGGCATTTGCTGAGCGTTAATAACACCCCACAAACGCTTAATGCAGTTTGAGTGGTGTTACCGCTCCGCAAACGCCCCGCAACCGTGTTGCAACCGCACCGCAAACGCCCGGCCGGCACCATAGACGAGAATAGGAGGCTTCAACGCCTCCTGACTCGACCAGAGGCGTCCGTTTTGCCGCGACGCAAACGCTCCAGTTTAGAACAGCACCATGTGCTGTAATGTGCAGAATTGGCAGAGGCGTTTGGGAAGCGGTAAAAACACTTCCCAAACGCCTCTCTGCCGCCTGCACACAACGCTAGTGTGAACGTAGCCTTACGAGTGACGGTCCATGCAATCGCCAAGGGTTGGATACGACTGAATGGATAGATAGAGAGATCTACTGAGAAAAGTGCAACAAAAGCAGCAATCCTAGGAAGGCGAGTGTGGCAATGCAGTGCCCTATGGACCCCCCCCCCCCTGGACACGCACGCAGGGTGCGCCCCGGACACGCACCCCAATGCACTACAGACCGCGATACACGCTGGAGTGGAAATGGCATCATAATTACACAGAGTAAACACACAAAGTATTATACAGATATATGTTCCACTACAAAGGTCATAAACCAGATAGAGGACAATGTGAGCACACATACAGGGGATTATCCTGATCACACCAACACTCTACACACAT